GATAGATAGATAGATAGATAGATAGATAGATAGATAGATAGATAGATAGATAGATGGATAGATGGACGGATAGATAAATAGATAGATAGATTACTCTATGTGAAAATAAAATTCAAACATAATGTAGACGGTAGGAATCAGAAACGGGGAATATAAAACCCTTATAGCCCAGAATAATAATATTGGAGCACAAGAGGGGCAGAGGGCACTAAGTAGGATCATAGATGACAAAACATCCACCGTGCAGGAACTGACAGAACGTAGAATGGCAGTCGTGTTAAATTTTGCAACAGAGATAATTATTTCCAGATACACAGTTATTGTCCTCGTTACAACAGACACTCATCACTCCCCACCCCCCTCCACTCCTCCTACCCTATCACACTCCCCACCTCCATTACCCCCACCCAGTCCCCCCCATCTCCTTCCCCGACTTTACCATACTCCCCATCCCACGTTCCCCCGTCCCACCGTATTTTAAATTTCCACCAATCTTTGAAAACAAATCCCCAGAACAAAACACGAGACGTATCTTCATCCAACAGAAACTCCAACCCAAAATTCCGAGTCAGTGATAATGCGGCCCCTTTTGTGTTCCCGAGAAAAAGCTCCTCCCGAGGGACCCGACTTTGGCCCACACCCCCCAAATTGGCTTACCTTGCACGCTGGCAGAGATCCATAGCGCTGATAGGTCCAAGTCCCTGGCGGCACGAGAGAGTCGCCCACGGAAATACTCCCCATGGTGGTACTGTATGATTCGAAGCATATTCGAATTGAAACTGTATTCATCGAACGGCCCCTGAGGTCCGGCTCCTGACTGGCACCTCGTTACTAGCTCCTGGTTCACGGTTTCCATTACAGGTTTCATACTGGAGTTGGTGACGTAAGCGGCATTGTCTTTGGCAATGAGAACCGAAGTGGTCATCACATGATACAGAGCTTCTCTGATATTGCGTAATGTGTTGAATGCGTGAAGGCGAGTTTCGTATATAATCTGTTCGTCACAGCCCGAGTATTTTTCCAGTGAGGGTAGGAAGTGCAGGAGGAGGTCCAGGCATTGCTCTTCCTGTGTTTCAGAAACAAGGTCACCCTCAGGCGTTTCCACGAGACTCTGGTGGTTGTTGGAGTTAAGAAGGATGAAGAGATCAGAGTGAATCAAGGTGTGGAGAATGATGAACTGTCGGATGGTCGCTTTGGGGGTGATTTTCAGCAAGTGTTGCAGTTCCAGGCTCAGTTTGACAGTGCAGAATTTGATGTCAGAAGCATCCTGGGTATCAAGCACGTTCTGGAAGAAAGCAATCCAGTCGATGCCGAAACCGTTGTATTTGACCTGGAGTTCGCCCATTGTTTTTCGACTGCTGTAAGGATCGCAGGACATTTCCTCCTCTTCATTTTCGTGATCAAGCTTGTCTCTGCCGGTATTCAGAATCTGAGAAACGAGTAAAAGCTTTTAATAATATTCTGAACCATTCTTCCTTACTTGAACATGATATCAAGCTACAAAATTCATATGATCCAATATTGAAACGCCCCGCATGTTTTTTTTGGCCCCACAACATTACGCAAGATACGTTTAGTTTTACTAGGAATCATGACACATTTGAAATTAAATATTGAACCTACGAAATACATATATATAT